CCCCAAAACCCCAAAACCCCAAAACCCCAAAACCCCTTTTATTTTAACCAATTGAATATAATTATCTAATATTCTTGAGTTTCTTTAATAGAGGAGAGCGTCCTAACCCTAAGGCCATGTTCTCCCATTGTGGCTTAAACTCAAATGCTTCCTTTACCATTTCTCTCAACTTAGTCTCTGGTATGAATAGTTTTAAATAAGGAGGGGGTGGATATGTCGGCTGAGTGTTGACCAGAGGAAGACCAGCAAGAATATTATGAGCATTAACTTGGCTGAGCCCAATATTATGCTTATGGAGCATTTCCTGACACTCTTTTTCCCATAAAATCATATCTTTGTGATGTCTAATCCTTTGCCATCTGAGATACTCCCTGATATAGATTTTTCGAATTTGGGTTTCTAACTCCTTATTTTCTTGACTTTGTGGAATTCTGTTAAGAGCTCCTTTCGCTTTGAGGTACTCCTTTTCGTATATATTCCATTGGTAATTAATGATACAGTATTTTAGAAGTCTTCTAACTAGGAATTTTCTAACCATTGTCTGTAGCTTGGTGATTGTCTTATAAAACTTGAGAGATCTGAGCTCAATTTTCCCTTGGTTAACAGCCTTGTATTTCAAAAAATTGTACAGTATTTTCTTCTTCTGTTCTCTTCGTTTTTCAAGCCATCTTCTGCAAAATCTTCTGACAAAGTTTTCAATTTTCTTTTTAGCAATTCTTATCCTAATATTTCTGAGTTTGAGGAGAAACATGCCTACTGCTTTGAGGATCCAGCATATTCTCTAAAGAGTTAGTTTACTTATGTACCTTTCCAAGTTTGGAGGTGTTTGCCATTACCTATATTCCTACAGTAAGATACTTGATTCAAATTGAGGGTAGATTCGATTTTCACAAATTTTTGTATTTTAAAATAATTGAGGTTCGATAAAATTTGATATTTTTCGATGAAATTTAGAAATAACTCTAATTAAGATTTTGGACTTTGGAGTTTGAAATTACCCTTTTCTTTAGTCTAAACTTTTGGTCGATGCTTCTCAGATAGACATCTAAATATTAGCAGCAGGGTTACTGAGGAAAGTCTTGGTAATGTACATATCTGTAGTGTGCTTTATGTTTTCGACGCTAAATCTCACAGAGTTTTGTTCTTTTTCCCGAAGTTTTTGTTCAAGACTGAACCTATTTCTCTTTCATTAGTCTCTCCTTTTCTAGGTTAGCTCAGATTATCTTGATGTTTTTGTCTTGGGACTTTAGTTTGACTTTCCTCAGTTTATTACTTCTTCTAAACTCTGAAAAATCTTGAGAAGGATTTATCTGTTTTAGGTTGAGACTAATCATCTCTTCAGATGGAATCTCTTCTAAACTTTTAGAGTGAGAGCTTTCAAGTGGATTCATTCTGGCTTTCTATTGGTTAGGATAGCTTTATTATACCTTTTGCTTAGCTTTTTCTATTAATATATCTCTATTTTTCTTAATCCATTGAATTTGCTTGTCAGTAAGCCCATCCTGGAGCATTATGAAGATCTTCTCATCTGTAAGGATATCTAAATCTAGTGGAGCTTTTGGGTCAAACAGAGATTTTGTAAACTTTGATTTTGCTTCATCAACGTTAATGTATTTGAAAATTTTGATGATTTTCCTATTTTCCTCATCTATAGTTTCCATTTGCTGAACATCTAATTTTGGAGACTGAATACGGGAAGGAGAGCTTGCTTCATGTCTTGAATCAACTTCACTAATTTTCTTTTCATTCGGAGCAAAGATAGTGCCAAATATTGAAGAGTCAACTTCTTGTATTGTTTCTTGCTTCATTGGCGCTATTGATGTATTCTATAAACTTGTGAAGAGTCTAACTTACAACGCTCTCCTCATCATCACTTTCTTCAGCAAATATACTTGTTCTTCTTGACCCACTTTCACGATCAAGTTGGGATTTTTCTATGGGATAACGGAATATAATTACTTTCTTTTATCCTCTGTTTAATCTTGAGATAATAATGAAGTTGTCTTCTCTTTGGATATGGGACATAATAATCTTCACCATAATCATAGTCTTCGTCTTGATAATCTTGATCCATTCTCAAAGTTTTTTGAGGAATGCTATAATTTATTATCGGTTACTTACTCTCTGATGTCAATGCTTTGGTATTTATTAATCACTCGATTTGCTTTGTCTAGAAGTCTACTTATTTTGATTCCTGATGAGGAGGCTGAAAGACTCTTATCTTCAGCATCATTTCTTCCATTTCCAGAGCTAGTTTTGAAATATGTAGATATTAGCATTTTCGAATCATTTTCAAAAGGAGATTCATCGCTTCTAATTAATGAATTGTATCTCTTGGTTTGCTTTTTATTTCTATCTTCTTTGAGATCTAAGTCCAGCTTTCTACTTTTGATTGGAGGGAGATGGGAGATCATCTTCATGTAACCATAATCGTTATCTATAATTTAGTTATAAACATAGAAATGTTTACCTTCTTTAAAACTATTCTTCCTACTTTCTTCTGAAGAAAGCTCGATCGATTTATTAAGTTTCAAGCCAAATTTCCTTCTTTTATATCGATACTTATTTCGTATTCTTAATCTTCTTGCTTCCCACATGAAGTAGGAACAACTTTTCCTTAATTTTCTCTCTATCAACCTATACCCATCACACCCTACATCCTCTATCCCAACCCCCTCCCAAAATCCCGTTGTCCCTTACTTTCTTCATCATTATATAAAATATTCAATTCCCTCGCATCCCTACGGGGTTTTGGGGTTTTGGGGTTTTGGGG